GAGCACTGGGCGGAAACAGATGCCGAACAGGACATGGGTCCCCCGAGACACGTGGCAAGTCAAGGTTCACTGGATGGGGTCAGAAATTGCTGAAGACGTTGATTTGGTGTTTGCGGCGGGGAGGGCCGCAGCGCCTTGCTCAAACCCCCCACCCCCTCAGGCGCAGATAGGTGTCGCCAACCCCCCCGAAGCACGACCTCGAAGTGGCCACATCTTCGTCGCATTACCACCTTCACGCCTACAAGAGCGCTGCTCTGCTCTGCCCGAAACCGGGGTTGTTGGCGGCATCCGCTTGCAATGAGCACCCCTGGCTGCGACCGTTTAGATTGCGACGCCTTGCGGCGTGCAGTATCCCCGCCTCCCATGGGCACCAGCCTTATTTTCGTCGTCGTCCTCCTCCTCCTCCTCCTCCTCCTCCTCCTCCTCATCATCATCATCATCATCATCATCATCATCATCATCATCATCATCATCATCATCATCATCATCATCATCATCATCATCATCATCATCATCATCATCATCATCATCATCATCATCATCATCATCATCATCATCATCATCATCATCATCATCATCATCATCATCATCATCATCATCATCATCATCATCATCATCATCATCATCATCATCATCATCATCATCATCATCATCATCATCATCATCATCATCATCATCATCATCATCATCATCATCATCATCATCATCATCATCATCATCATCTCATCATCATCATCATCATCATCATCATCATCATCATCATCATCATCATCATCATCATCATCATCATCATCATCATCATCATCATCATCATCATCATCATCATCTCATCATCATCATCATCATCATCATCCATCATCATCATCATCATCATCATCATCATCATCATCATCGTCATCATCATCATCATCAGCACCACCACCATCACCATCACCATCACCATCACCATCATCATCATCATCAGCAGCAGCAGCAGCAGCAGCATCATCAGCATCAGCATCAGCAGCAGCAGCAGCATCAGCATCAGCATCATCACCATCACCATCATCATCACCACCACCACACCATCACACATCATCATCTCATCATCATCATCATCATCATCCTCATCCTCATCCTCGTCCTCGTCATCATCATCATCATCATCATCATCGTCCTCATCATCATCATCATCATCACCATCATCATCATCATCATCATCAGCATCAGCATCATCATCATCATCATCACCATCATCATCATCATCACCCACCACCACCACCCATCACCATCATCATCATCATCACCACCATCATCATCATCATCATCATCATCATCATCATCATCATCATCATCACCACCACCACCACCACCACCACCACCACCACCATCATCATCATCATCATCATCATCATCATCATAATCCGCGGACCCCTTGAGGTTACGGCGCGTGAAATGCTTCCCCCTCCCCAAACCCCTCCCCCGGGAGCCCGGTCCGGCCGGTTTGGAGGGGGGGTGGGGGGGCAAAGGCGTCATGAGGCCCCACGGGGCGCCAGAGGGCTCCAAGCAGCCCCCACGACGGCCCAAGAGGCCCCCGAGACGCCCAAAGGTCGGCCCAAGACGCACAGGATGGCCCCAAGACGGCCCCAGGAGCCTCCCAGACGGCCCAGGAAGCGTCCAAGAGCATTCCCACGAGGGGCCCAAGAGGCCAAAATCGTCGAATCCCACCAGCCCTTTAGGGCGTGAGTGGTTTAGCGAGCCCCCTCTGTCCTCAACCCCCCTTCTTCCCCTTCGGGGAGGGGTTTACCCCTCCCCCTCCCCCCTCCCCCTGGGCCTGGAGAGGGCACCCCGCGGGTCGTCAAGGGGGTCTTTTTCGACGCCTGGGAGGGCCACCTCACGAGGATTCTGGCCCTGACGGGGGGACGCTCTTGTAGCCCCCTCCTCTTCTGTGAAGCCAAAATCCTTGCTTTTACAAGGGTTTGGGCCCCATTTTGGCCTCCCGAGGGGGCCGCGCTCATCTTCCGTCATAGCAAAATCATTGATTTTACGAAGGTTCTGGGCTCATTTTGTCCTTCTCAGGGGGCAGCGCTTCTTTGCGCTTCTGAGGAGGTCGCAAGAGGCCCCAAGATGGCCCCAAGAGGCCCCCAGGAGCCTCTCAAGAGGCCTCCAAGAGGTCCCAAGAGGCCCCCAAGAGGCCCCAAGAGGCCCCCAAGAGGCCCCCAAGAGGCCCCCAGAGGCCCCAGGAGGCCCCCAAGAGGCCCCCAAGAGGCCCCCAAGAGGCCCCCAAGAGGCCCCAAGAGGCTCCAAGAGGCCCCCAAGAGGCCCCAAGAGGAGCCCGAACGACTCACACCAGGACGAGGGGCCCGAACGACTCATACCACGAAGAGCCCGAACGACTCACACCACAAGGAGGGGCCCGAACGACTCACACCAGGACGACGCGCCCGAACGACTCACACCACGAGGAGCCCGAACGACTCACACCACGACGCGGGCCCCGAACGACTCACACCACGAGGAGCCCGAACGAGTCACACCAGGAGGAGGGGCCCGAACGACTCACACCAGGATGAGGGGCCCGAACAACTCACACCACGAGAAGCCCGAACGACTCACACCAGGACGAAGAGCCCGAACGACTCACACCACGAAGAGCCCGAACGACTCACACCAGGAAGAAGGGCCCGAACGACTCACACCAGGACGAGAAACCCCAAACGACTCAAATCACGAGGAGCGCTTTCTCTCCCTCCTCCTCCGCCTCGTCCTTCTCCCGCTCCCCCCACAAGGAGGATGTACAAGGAGGCGGGAGGAAGGAGGAACAGGGGAGATATGCGGGGCCAAACGGACACACGCCTGAAAAACACGACTGTCGGCATGCTTCGCATGAGTTGCTGTTGTGAGATGGGCTGGTGGGGATACGCGAAGCGTAAAGAATTCCTACATGGAAAAGCGTACATTTCTATCATGCACGACTTTTCGGCCTTCACGGCGTTGAAGACGGCCCCAGTCCCCCAATACCGCCCCCGCCCCAAAACGGCCCAAGAGGCTCCCAAGAAGCGCTCGAAACGGCCCAAGAGGGAGAAAAAACAGCCCAAGAGGCTCCCAAGACGGCCCAAGAAAAGCCCAAGAGGGGAAGTCTGAACCAACAATCCGAGCCTTCCACCCCAAAGCGGCCCCAGAGGGGGCCGAGCAGGCGCCCAACAGGGCCCATGAGGCCCCAAAGAGGCCCCCCAAGAGGCCCCAAGAGGCCCCCAAGAAGCTCAAAAGAAACCCCAAATACCACTTGAGGCATGTAACTTCAAACCCGCAACCCGGGCACCACGGATCTCAGGTCGACAACTAAAGCGCGGTGGCGGGATGTGCCGGAGACCCCTGTATCCGCCGCCCCCTGTCGATTCATCGCAGGGGTACCTGGCGAGCTGAACCCTCTCGGTTTTGGTGTTGGTTCTTTTTCCAAAAGAACTCCCCCTGGGGCTTCGGCCCGTCCCGCTGGCCACCCGGAAGGATCTTCCAGAGGCGGTTGCAAAGGGATTTCCGGCTCCAAAAACGGCCGTTTCGCTCGGGACATCCTCAAACAATCGCGAAGATGGCCCAAGATGGCCGGCCCAAGAGGTCTCCAACACGCCCATGATGGCATCCAAGACGCCCAAGATGGCCTCCAAGACGGCCCCGAAGCGCCCCAAGAGGGCCCCAAGTCGGCCCAGAAAGGCCCCCAAGACGGCTGCCGACGGCGTCAGGCGTGCCAGGAACCCACCAAGATGGCCGAAGCTGGCTCGAAGCTAGCCCAAGACGGCCCAAGAGGCCCCCAAGAGGGCCTCCAGGAAGGCCAGAAGAGGCCCAAAACATTGAGTGTCCTAAGGTTTTGTTTGACGGATTGTAACCGTTTCTTTTTTTGTCGGCCTTCCGACGGCCCGAGACGGCCCAAGAGCCCCCAAAGATCGCCGAAAGATCGCCCAAGAGGCCTCCAAGATGGCCTCAGAACGGCCCAAGAGGGCCCCAAAACGGCCCCAAAACGGCCCCCAAGACGGCACAGGAGGCCTTTAAGACGCCCGAGATGGCCTCCAAGACAGCCCTGGAGCATTCCAAGAGGGCCCCAAGTCGGCCCATAGAAGCCCCCCAAACGGCTTCCGACGGCGTCAGACGGACCAGGAACCCACCAAGATGCCCGAAGTTGGCTCGAAGCTGGCCCAAGACGGCCCAAGAGGAATCCAAGAGGGCCTCCAGGAAGGCTCGAAAAGGCCAAAATCATGGATTTCCCATTTGTTTTTGAAGGATTGTGGCATTTGCTTTTTTCTTTTTTTCCGACGGCCCGAGACGGCCCAAGTGCCCCCAAAGATTGCCCAAGAGGCCCAAGACACGGCCCCAAGAGGCCCCCAAGACGGCCCAAGAGGTCTCCAAGACGGTCAAGATGGCCTCCAAGACGGCCCAAGAGCTTCCAAGACGTCCTCCAAGAAGGCCCGAAAGGGTCAAAATGGTCTCCAGACGGCCAAGATGACCTTCAAGATGCCCACGTGTTCCCCGAAGGCGTTCCAAACCGATTCGGGGAACACATGGTCCGATAGCTTGGCAGGTCTGGCCTCAACAATCGGCCACATAGGCGCTTCCAAAAAGGCAGGGGGCGGCGCCTCCTCCTCCTCCTCCTCCTCCTCCTCCTCCTCCTCCTCCTCCTCCTCCTCCTCCTCCTCCTCCTCCCCCAGCCTCCACCCTCGCGCGCCCGGGCCGCACATCGGGCTCAGCGTTTCTCCGCCCCTTGCTGGTGCGCACCGATCCCGGGCACAGGATGGGCCTGGCCAGGATCGGCGAGGCGTGCAGTCGACGCCCCCCGACCTCCTCGTCCTCCCTCCACATGCCCACTGGCGTGGCCTGGTATGCACCTAGAGGGGATGTATGGTGTTCCTTTCGGGTTTCGCAGGGCATATCCCCAACTGGTGGGGTGGGACGGTGGAGCTGAGATGCCATGACCCAATGGGGACGGGGATCGGTCAAACAATACTTAAGCTCGGCTTGATCCCTCGCGCCTCCCAGTTGCTGAACCCCGCCTCGCAGTCGAAGGGTTTGGAGTCCTCCGGGTGCTTCGGGGGGCAGCCACGCCCCTTGTTCGAGCAGCACCACTCCTTTTTGCCGACCGCCCAGCCAGCCTCCCAATTGTCCCAGCCAGCGTCGCAGTCGAAGGGCTCGGACTTCTCTGGGCAACCGACCTCCTTCTTTGTGCAGCACCACTCCTTCTTCGCGGGCACCCAGTCGTTCTGCTTGTCCAAGTCGAACTTGCAGTCGAACGGATCGCAGCCAACTTTCGCGTCTCTGCAGCACGCCTCCTTCTTGCCGACGGACCATCCCACCTCCCAGTTGGCGAGACCCTCGTTGCAGTCGTAGTCCCGCGGCGGCGGCGGAGGGGGTGCAGGCGGTGGTGGCGGGGGTGGGGGCGGTGGCGCAGGCGCTGGTGGCGGGGGTGGCGGGGGTGGCGGGGGCGGCGGGGGTGGGGGCGGTGGGGGCGGTGGGGGCGGTGGGGGCGGTGGGGGTGGTGGCGAGGGCTCTTCCGGGGGGCACCCGAGCTGCTTGGAGCTGCAGCACCAGTCTTTCTTCCCCTGGCCCCAAGAAACCTCAAATGTGGCCAGGTCTCTCCCGCACTGGTAGGCGTCGCACACCTCTTTTTTGTCGCTGTTTTGGCAACACCACTCCTTCTTGCTCACCGACCACCCAGCCTCCCAGTTGTCTAACCCGGCCTCGCAGTCGTAGAGGCAGCCTTTGTTCCCCGTGGTCTGGCAACAGTAGTTCTTCTTCTGCTCGGACCAGCCGTCAACCCAGTTGTTCCAGCCAGCGTTGCAATCGAACACCACGAGGGTCGTCGAAGTAGAAGTGGCCACTCCACATCGCGCCATCTTCTCGGGAGACCACAAGTGCGTTGCGTCCGCACCGACGCCGCAGTCTGGGTTCTCCTCCACCCACCCGCATCCGACCTGCTGCTCCTCGCAACACCACTTCTTCTTCGCGTCCGCCCAGCCGTTCTTGTAATTGTCCAGGCCAGCCTGGCAGTCAAACTTGCAGCCCATGTGACCGGTGCTCTCACAGCACCAGACTTTTTTCGGCTCCGACCATCCCTCTTTCCAGTTGTCGAAGCCAGCGTTGCAGTCGTACTCGGGGGACGTAGTGGTGAAGCATCCAACTTCCTTGTTGGCGCAGCACCAATTTTTCTTTGCGTCGCTCCAGCCCTTCTCCCAATGCGCCAGCCCGGCGGTACAGTCGAATGGCGCGCTGTAGCCATCCTCGCACGCAACGTCCTTGTGGTTGCAACACCACCACTTCTGGTCCTGCGGCCAATCCTTGATCTTGTCCAAATCTTTCGTGCAATCCCATGGATCGATGTTGGTGTCGCAGCCGCGCTCCTTGTTTAAGCAACACCACTCTTTCTTGCTGTCGGACCAGCCCTCCTCCCAATTGGCGAAGCCTTCGTCGCAGTCGTAAGGATCGCTGCGGGGACAACCCCTCTCCTGGCTCGCGCAGCACGAGGTCTTTTTGTCCTCCGACCAACCAGCCTCCCAGTTCTCAAAGCCTTCGTCGCAGTCGAAATGGTCCTGGCACCCTTTAGCTTTGTTTGCGCAGCACCAGTCCTTCTTGTCATCGGACCATCCCTCGTTCCAGTTGGCAAAGCCATCGTCGCAATCGAAGGGGTCGGCGGCCTCGCAGCCCATGTCCTTGTTCTTGCAGCACCACTTCTTCTTGGAGTCCGACCACCCTGCAACCCAATTGTGGAATCCAGCCTCGCAATCGAAGGGATCGGACTGAGTTCCGTCTTCGCACCCTTTCCGTTCCGACCTGCAGCAGAATTCCTTCTTCTCTTGAGACCAGCCCTCCTTCCAGTTGTTGTAACCCTCGCCGCAGTCGAAGGCCGTTCCGTTTGAGCAACCTTCGATGGCAACTCATGGGAGCCTCCCATACCATCTTGTTGGATCTTGCGAATCGACGCTAAAACGATGCTAGTCAAGATCAAACGACGTTAAACCAGCGGTATCAGTCCGATTACTCCACGTGAGTCCACGCGAGTGCACTCCAAAAGTGGAAGTACGAGGGTACACTGGGCTCCCACGATTTGCTACCGAAAACAACCTCTGCCCTGGTCTTTACAACACCAGTCCTTCTTCGCACGAGACCAGCCGGTCTTCCACTTCGCATAGCCGGCCTCGCAATCAAATCCGTGAGCCCTCAATGGGAAGAGCGCCAGGCGCTCCGAAAAAATGTTTTCCGACTTCGGAAGGGCATGGCACTGACCACTTTACGGAGGGGCAGCGATAGGGGGGGGGACTGGCATAGGGGGGGGGACATCGATCTGGGATCGGCGGTACATCTCCGATATATCGGCGTTATGCCCCCGACAGCGATTCCACACGTTGGGGCTATCAGACCCACATCGGCGATCTATGGGCGATTGAGGGTCGATGGATCTCCCTCTATGTCTATCCCTCCCTATCGTTGCCCCTGGGAAACACATGCCAGGAGAGGAAGCGCAGGGCGCCGTCGTAACTTCTCCTCTGATTGGCCGCGCACTTCGGCGGTACACCACCGTCGGAGTCAACCACGCAGAGTAAGTGAAGCACACATTGCCTCTCAATAGGACCCCAGACCTCTCCAGGGGTCGAAACTGACAAGTTCTTCCTGGAAAGGGCGCCTGCCCAGGGTTCTCGTTTAGTTTGCAAGCTGTCCCTGGTGCCATGTTCAAAGAGCGCCTGCGGATTGATTCATTGACGGATAACGAGGTCGAAGAGGACAGGCTGGCTACTTTTTAGGGAAATCTCGAGCGGGGACCTCATGAGCAAAGTGTGAGGATGTCTCGAGAGGGAATCTCGTTTTCGTTTGTTGAGCATGTCTCGAACGAAACGCTTTCTCTTCAGAATGGATTGATGATGTCTCGAGCGAACCGCTTGCTTTCACGTGTCCTGGTCGCGAGGAGTAATATCTAACATGTCGTCGTCGGCCTCTTCACATGCAAAAGCTACGTACGCGGACAGGGTGTCCAACATGCGTTTGGCGCCTGTGCACTTGGCACGTGCATTCACCTGCCTAGGCCACCCAAGAAGAAATCTAACATGTCATTGGTCATCGGGCTTGATGCCTGAGCAAAGTTCGAGGATGTCTCGAGCGAGGGCCTTGTCTGCGAGTCAAGTGTGAGGAAATGTTGAGCGGGTGTCTCGTCTGCGAGGAGGAGGTTGAGCTGAAACCATATTTGTCTACATGAGTTCCTTTCTATCGCGAGCTGACCCAACGTTCTCTCACATGGGTTTCTGTGCCAACGAGCTGGAACCATGCATCTTCTCAAACTAGGCTTGCTTGTAGAAACCTTAGCCCCATCCATGGAAACCTTGTGCACTAATCCCCCCCTCTTACTCTGCCCTTGCAATGTTATCACTATCCGCACGGCTTCCTCTGTATCCGAATGGCTTCCTCTGCTGGTTTCGATTGCCGTGATGTCTTCCTTCTATCCGCGTGGCTTCCTCCTATCAGCATGGCTTCTTCCTATCCAAATGGCTTCCTCCAATGCGCCTGGCTTCCTCCCATCCGCTTGGCTGCTCCAATGGCGTCCCATAAACCGTCAAATAATCATCAAATCCAGAAGCAAAGTATACTAGAGTAGAGCAGAGCGGAGAAGTAGCGCAGTAGCGCCGCGTATAGTACAGTAGAGTATGGTAGATAGGGTAGAGTAGAGTAGGGTAGAGCAGGGTAGCGTAGAGTAGGGCAGAGTAGGGTAGAATAGAGCACAATATAATAAAAGGGCTTAGATGGTAAGTCCGGTAGACTAGCGTAGATTAGTAGGAGGGCTAGGGTCAAGTTAGCCAGGTCGAGCGAATTAGAGGGCCCGCCTACTCCCAACCTCTCTCCCACAACTGCGCGGGCCATGCAGAGGTGGAAGCAGCAAAACTTCCGATGGGCGCAGCTAACACGAATCATGCGCCGTGCAAACACAGCACTACCACTTCCACTCACAAGCCACGCGGCGCTTGGGCGAGGTCGGCATTTCGCCCGCCCTCGCGGGTCCCAGCTACAGCTGTCGCTGGCATGCGATTTAGCGAGCGAGCCATGCGCCGCGCCCGCGCTGGAACGCCACTTCCGAACGAAATGCGCACGGAGCTTGGGCGAGGGCGACGAGTCGCCGATATGCGCGGGCCCCGAAGACACGGCGGGTGGAACAAAGCGCCGCGTCGAGGCGGGAGCGCCGCTCTCGGGCGGAGTCTGCCCGGCGCCAGGGCGAGAGCAACATGTTGGCCGGCTGGCGCGTCAAGCCCAAGCAGGAGACGAGCTCTCTAGAAAAATGAGTGAAGGGGCCCCAGGACACACAAATAAATACACACAAATAAAAATGTTCCCCCTGTTTTCCCATATGTTCTGGGTTTCTGTCTTCCCCCCCACTTCCCATATTTTCCCATGTTTTCTGGGAATCGAGGGTTAATTGTGTCTGTGTGTTTTTTCCCCTCCCGAAAAATGAGAGCGGCGCAGAGGCGAGAGCGGCGTGCTGGCCTTGCGCGCGGGGCGTCCGCCCCGCCCCACTCCTGCCACGCATAACTACACCATGGACGACGTAATGCTCATGCTGGTACGAAACCAATTGATTGATGCGTTGCTTATCACCTTCCTGTGATGGGTTCTCGTTTACGAAGAGAACGCTATGGTCTCCGAGAGCCTCCTCCTCCTCCTCGCGGCTCACTAGGGGGCTGCGAACTGCGCAACGGTCGCCACGTTCGCGAGCTCCTGGAAGGTCCAGCGGAGACGGGGGGTGCGCACATCTAGAAGAGACCTCGCAGCTCCCTTGCAGTTCCCTGGGGGCTGGGAACTGCGCAGTTGTCGCCACGTTCATGGGCTGCTGGGAGGCCCAGCGGAGTAGGGGAGTAGGCAGATCTGGCCGAGAACTCGCAGCTCACTGGTGGACTGCGAACTGCGACACGGTCGCCACCTTCGTGGGCTCCTGGGAAGCACAACGAGGTGGGGCAGTGCGCACATCCAGCCGAGACCTCGCGGCTCTTTGGGGGGCAGCAAACTGCGCAACCGTCTCCACTTTCGTGCGCTTCTAGTAGACCAAGCGGAGTGTGAGGGAGTACGCACATCCGGCCGAGACCTCGCGGCTTCCTGAGGGGCTGCGAACTCGAACTGCGCAACTGTCACCATTTTCGTGTGCCCCTGGGAGACCCAGCGGAGACGGGGAGTATATGCAAATCCAGCCGAGACCTCGCAGCGCAATGGTGGGCTGCGAACTGCGCAACTGTGGAACTGCACACCCTTCACCACCGTCGTGCGCTCCTCGGAGACCCAACGGAGTGGGTGAGAGTACGCAGCTCCAGCCGAGACCTCGCGGCTCCTGCGCACTGCGGGTCCTTCAACATGTTCGTTTATATTGAGCGGTCCTGGGCATAGCCGTCACACGTGTAAACAGGGTTGAATACCCCGCAAGGTAATGTTTTGACAGGTAGGATGGAACCACCCGGATCCAGTCGCTATCGGCCGGCTAGGTGGCAGAGTCGGAGCACATTCCGAAATAAGGAATGAGGATAGAAAAAAAGGGTCGGGTCAAACTACCCACAAGCAACAGCAACAAGCCGTCTCGCTCATTCCTAGCCGCCCTCCAAAAACTTGGACCAACCGCCCTCCAAGGAGCACCCGAGTTGTAGAATGGACAGGGGCCGCCATCGACAACTATCGGGAGCTAATGCAGACGCCAGCCAAGTGCGCGAAGACAGCGAAGTGCGCCGGTCATACCAGCTGCGCCACGCGCACCAAGTGCGCCACGTTGGGCTGTCGACCTTCCCACCGCCCCTGTCAAAAGCCATGCCAAGTGACGGCGGGTTTGTTGTATTGGAATGCGCCCACGATCGCTTTGCATTTGTTTGGTGGGCTTCCGCACAGCGGGAAGTATGCCGTCCACTCCCCGCCGTCCCTTGCAAAACGAAATCGTTTGCTCCCAACCATCCTGCGGTGTTGGGCCCTCGGTTTGAAGAGACAGCGCCCCGCGTTTCCTCCGTCCTCCTCCTCCTCCTCCTCCTCCTCCTCCTCCTCCTCCTCATCCTCCTCCAGCTATCCCTGCTGCTCCTCCCCCTCCTCCTCCTCCTCCTCCTCCTCCTCCTCATCATCATCATCCTCCTCATCCTCCGCCTCCACCTCCAACTCTTCCTAAGGTCCTACTACTCATTTTCCTCCTCCTCCTGATTTTCCTCCTCCTGCTCTTCCTCGTCCTAACCCACCCCTGCGTGCCTCTGCTCTGGACATGTCAAACAATTCGGCACACCTAAAACACCGCTTCGTGGCCCCATACGGAGCCCCACCGAAGGCCCCTAGGTGACGTTCGCATACGTCCTCTCCACCCACTAACGCGTTTCGTGGCCGCACAAAGAGATCCACCAAAGGCCCCCGTGGCGACGTTCGCATGCGCCCGTCTTAATCACTACAGCGCCCACCATAGGGAGTCTCACCGAAGGTTCCAGCGGCGACGTGCGCATGCGTCCGCCCCACCCAGCACTGTCGAATGCCCCAGTGGCGATGCTCGCATGGGTCCGGCGGAAGGCCCCAGTGGGGACATTGGCATGCGTCCGTCCGACCTACCCAGCACAGCCTTCCCGGCCCCACAGGAAGCTCCACAGAAAACCCATATTGCGACGTCCGCATGCGTGCGCCCCACCAAATACAGCGTTTTCTGGCCCACTAGGGAGTGCGCCCGCCCCACCCAGTACAACGCTTCGTGGCCCCAATGAGAGCCCCAAGCGATGGCACCAGTGGCGGCGTTCGCACACGCCCGCCCCAACCAATACAGCGTTTCGTGGTTCCATGCGGATCTCCACCGAAGGCCCTAGCGGCGACGTTCGCATGCGTTCCCCACCCAATACAGCGAATCGTGGCCCCATAGGGAGCTCCACCGAGAGCCCCAGCGGCGACGGTCGCATGCGTCTGCCCCACCCAGCACAGCGCATAAGGGCTTCATCAATGGCGACGTTCGCATGCGCCCGCCCCTCCCAGTGCAGCGTTCCGTGGCCCCACTAGGAGCTCCGCCGAATGCCGTAATGACGACGTGCGCACGCCCCCCCCCCCCAGTCAGCACAGCGATTCGTGGCCACTGAGGAACTCCACCGAAGGCCCCAGCAACGACGCTCGCTTGCATCCGGCCCACACAGGGCCACGAAACGCTCTAGTGGGTGGGGCGGACGCATGCGAACATCGCTGTGGC